TATACATATACATATAAATATACATATACATAGAGAGAGAGACAGGAAGTAGAGAAATGTTTGAAACTACATATAGATAGAATTATTTCAGAATATATATAATTTTAACCTGTGTAAAACTGCTTTAAAGTGAAATTTAGTGTAACAGATGTAACATTTTATAGCTATGAAAATGAAGTGAAAGAGTCTGTAATTATAGAATATTGTCAGTTAAGGAAATGACAGAATCATTAAAACCCAATATTAACAATTAGCTTAAGATAGCATAGATGCTTTTTGTCCTACAATATCAGGAATGTCAAGGGCCTTTTGATTTTAAATAACTGTTTTTCTTACCATATTCTTTTAAGCATTTATTTTTTAGAATCCTTGGACAAAGTGATTTAAATATTTTTAAAGATATTTAGCAAATTGTGATTTTTTATTTTCTAAGAGTGTCAATGTCTAGAATTTTTTTATTATACTAGTTTATTTACAAAATTTGAATACATTGTTTTTCAGAACAGATTTCTTAGTAGTGCTTCTCTAAATGTAGATGATTTTTATTCATAAAAGAATATTTTGTTGTTTGGTTTTGTATTTTGCCACATAAGTTTTTAAAACTTTTCTGTAGGGACAATGTATGTATCAAAACCAACAAATATTGCAGATAAAATTCAATGATATTATCACCTTCATGTTCTGTAATCATTCTCTATTGTTTTCCAAATCACTCTACCACCATTAATATAATCTTCATGACCACCAAGAAAAATACTTTCATGACTTCTTAATAATTGAAATTTTTCTTGTTATTTCCATCTAATTCTATTTTTTTGAGAGGAAAGGTAAATCAAATTAAACTTATAACCTATAAGGTTTCTTTGTATTTATTGTATATTTTCAATATTTAAATATTGACTTTTTTCTTTTGATATAAGTAGTGGAGTAAAGTCCCCACTTTTTACCTTTACATAAAGGCAAAATATCTAGCCATTTATAAAAATATGCTTTAATTACCTTTCCTAAATATATTTGATGTTTGTTTGGCATTATATTATCTTGTCTTTTTCCTTTATCTTTCTTTTTTCTTTTATCCTTTGTCTAATATTCTAGATTCTAATCTTCTAGCACTATTAAAAAAGTCTAGAGATTGGCAGTCTTAGAAAATTAACATCACAATTTGTTAAATATTTTTAAAAATATTTAAATTACTTTGTCCAAGAATTTGAAAAAATAAACACTTAACAGAGTATGGTCAGAAAAATAGTTCTTTAAAATCAAAAGACCTTTGTATCTATCCTATCTTAAACTAATTGTTAATAGTAGGTTTTAATGATTCTGTTGCTTCCCTAATTGATAACACTCTATAATTATAGAACTTTTCTCTTCATTTTTATACTTATAAAATGTTACATCTGCTACATTAAATTTCACTTTAAAGCAAGGGTTTATTTTCCTATTCCTTGTTTATTTGGCACAACACTTTTAGTTAGCCTATTATCAACTTTTGCACTCAATCTAGTTATTTCGTATTTTTAAAAATTCCCAAAATACATGAATAAATTAAACAGCCATGGTTATATAAGAACCCTGTGTAAAATGCAAATTAACTTTCTGAGAATTCATACTTTTATAAAGTTGAAAAAAGAGTTTGATTACAGAGGGTAGAGACTATAGACCAAGATGGTTTTTACTTTTCCTATAATACATAAATATGTAAATAATAATAAATATATAAATATAAATTTTTCTCTAAACATGTGGTTTATCTCTTTCAAACATGATTTACTTTTAATGCAGTATAATATGTCTTTGGGATCAAGACTAGGTAAGGTTATTCAGATTAAAAAGGATAGGTTGGATATACTATTAATTTTTTAGGAATTCTTTGATGGTGCAAATGGTTACATTCTTGGTTATTATTGTACCATTGGCAGTTTGAATTTAGAAATGTGTTGAAATAAAAACTTAGTGACCCAAATCTAAAAAATCATAGTCGTTGAAAATTCTAGGTAGTGCCATGTGATTACCATGTGCCAGAATTAAATGTACATTTTGCTTTTTCAAGGTTTTATTTTATTTTTTAAAATTAACTATTTCAGTGTTTCATTTTGAGTCTGTGAATTATTGTCAAGTGGTTAAGTACTTGAATTTCTTGGATAATGAATAGTTTGCAAACATAGAATTTACCTTTCATTTCCTTGAAATTAGGGTAATGTAACCTAATGGCTAGAATAACAATGTTAATCGAAATTTCCTGGGTTCAAATGTAGGCTGTGCATCTAGACCTTCTTAGATAAAGTAATTTAGGTATGCATGTTCCTTAGCTTTCCTTTCAGTAAATTGAGGATAACAATAATATCACTTATAAATTATTATTATTAGGTTAAGTTAACAAGTATAACAAGAATAGAAGACTGCCTTGCCCTAACAAATGTTCCTTTTTCTATTGTTTTTAATGTATTATTATTATTATTATTTAATTATTATTGTTTTCAGGTGCAGTAGCAATGATGCACAATACTAATGACAGCTCCCAAAGCCATTTCATCCTTTTGGGGTTTTCTGATCGTCCTCATCTGGAGAAAATTCTTTTTGTGGTCATTTTGATTGCTTATCTCCTGACTGTAGTGGGCAACACCATCATCATCCTGGTGTCCCGTCTGGACCCTCACCTCCACACCCCTATGTACTACTTTCTCACTCACCTATCTTTCCTGGATCTGAGTTTCACCACCAGTTCCATCCCACAACTACTATACAACCTTAACGGACATGACAAAACCATCAGCTACATTGGATGTGCCATTCAGCTCTTTCTGTTCCTGGGTCTGGGTGGCGTAGAATGCCTTCTCCTGGCTGTAATGGCTTATGACCGGTTTGTGGCAGTCTGTAAACCCTTACACTACACGGTGATCATGAATCCAAGACTCTGTCTGGGCTTAGTGTTGGTTGCCTGGGGTTGTGGGGTGGCCAACTCCTTGGCCATGTCTCCTGTGACCCTGCTCTTACCCCGTTGTGGAAGACACCAAGTGGACCACTTCCTGTGTGAAATGCCAGCCTTGATTCGGATGGCCTGCATCAACACAGCAGTCATTGAAGGAACGGTTTTCGTCCTGGCAGTGGGCATTGTGCTTTCACCATTGATTTTTATTCTAGTGTCCTATGGCTATATTGTAAAGGCTGTGTTACAAATTCGATCAGCATCAGGGAGAAAAAAAGTCTTCAACACTTGTGGCTCCCATCTCACTGTGGTCTCCCTTTTCTACGGAAACATTATCTACATGTACATGCAACCAGGGAACAGCTCCTCCCAAGACCAGGGAAAGTTCCTGACCCTCTTCTACAACATAGTCACCCCACTCTTGAATCCCTTGATCTACACCCTCAGAAACAAAGAGGTGAAAGGGGCCCTAAGAAGACTGCTGCTAGGTAATAGAGATGCCAGGAAGGAGTAAAGACGTTGTCTACCTGAATCACCAAGGCCCATCAATTAAATGTGTTAAACCTGATCTTGGTATGTGCTTTCCATCTTTTGCCTTTTCTTGAATTTATGAAAGTATTTCACTATGAAATAATACCATTTTTATGTACTGAATTGCACAACACTTATTATTCCACAATGTCCCTTCTTGATATTGTAGTTTGGTTCCATCGAGTTAAGTACTACTTATAGTAACACTATGAACAACAAACCCAAACTCTCCTATCCTGTGCCAATCTCATTATCTCTAACGCACTTGATCCCATTGTTTCAATGTGCCAATTCATCTTGTTGGGAATCTTTCACTGACTCTCCATCTTTTCCAAAAGAATGTTCCTTTCCAAGAAATAGATTTTTCTATCAACACATACAAAGTATGAAAGATGGAGCTTTATCATCTTTGTCTCCAAGGAGCAGTTTAGGTGGACATTTCCCAAGATATATCTGTTTGTTCTTTAAGCAGTTCATGGGATACTCAGACTTTTCTTCAGTACCATAATTTAAAAGTGTCACATTCTCTTCTGATATTGTTATTAATTTTCTGGCTCTCAGCATAGCGGAGGATTGAAAAGACCCTGGCCTGAATCAGGTTCTTCTTTATCTTCAAACTGACATCATTATTTATAAGTATTTTGGAGAGATCCCTGAGAGTGGACTTGCCTAATACAGTATGTCTCCTGAAATCCTGACTGCTGGTGCCAAGAGTGTTGACTGCTGATACAAACAAGAGTAAATCATGGAAAATCTCAAGCCTTTATCTATCTATCTATCATAATATTGTCTGCTGGTCCATGGTGAGGACATTTGTTTTCTTGATGTTGAAATGTAATCCATACTGATGGCTAGGGATGATTAGTAAAGAAGTCCAAAAGATGAAGAAAGAAAATAGTTAAAAAATATGTTTCCAGCAACAAATACCACAATGCTGAGACAAAAAAAAAAAGTCATTTTCAGAGATTTGGGGTTCATCACTTTTTTTTATTACAGCATACTTAGTATTTTTATCAATATAATTATAAACCAGTCACCAGTGATTTAAGCATAGATAAAATGTCTCTTAAATGGTGACTATCAAACATCAGAACTTACCGAAGTTTGATATTTTCTACTCCCTGCCTTATTATCGAAAGCTTTTTAGCAAATCTTATATTTTTGTTTTTTAATAGCATTGCAAATTTTCTTACACTTTTCTTGCAGATCCTAGATAAACTAAAGAGTTAATTTATAATAATAATAATATGCAGGTCATTTTTATTTTTTTTTACAGGTCATTTAAATCTAATAAACATGATTAGGTCTCATGTACGTTTCATAATGGGGAAGAAAGTCATGTTCATTAATTGTTTTTCTAGCATTGTCCTCACTGTACCCATTTGCAACATGTTTGGAGATTAAATCCTTTTCTCTGGTTTAATCTGAAGCTGTGAAACTGATTGGAACCAAAGCTTTATTAAAAATTCTAATTCTTAACTTGAGATTTTTTGTTGTTGTTGTTTTGTTGTTGTTTGTGATTACTACGTAAAAATTCCGTAGTAAAAAACCTTGTTGCATTTGACAAGTAATATCAAAGAGACATTGGGGCTATTATACTGCAACTTCGTTTATATAGATAACACTATCCACAGCGCTGCTTCTTGCGAAAATTGAAAATTACATAAGGATCTAGATAAAATACTGACACTCATGCCTTCTGGGGTGGAGATTCAACATTTAAACAAAGCTCCCAGTGAATTTGCTTGCTCAATAATTTCTTTATGGACATCCAGAGGACAGATTGTGCGAAAAGTAGAAAAAATTATTCATAAACCAAGGGGGAATCATTAGCAGGAATAAGTGTAAAGACTGAGAGACTGTGAATCATCTTTCTGCTGTCAGAACTGTTTACAGCTGCCCCAGCTTGAGTGTCCTACCGTATGCTTCATGATATTCTGTAGCTTTCTAACTCAAGAAGAAATTAAAAATAAAAAAAGAAATTTTTTTTAAAATGCAGCATAAAGAACCTTCTTTCTTTTATTTACAATCTAACTACCTACATTACTACTTCCGTAAGATAGCAGTTTTTAAAGATATAACTGGTTTCCTAACCCACTCAACCCTACACATTACCTATAATAATACTTGCTCTAAGGGCACCAGTCCCTCAGGGTCATTGTAGATTAAAAAAACCTGCTTGAAGATAGATTCCAACTCCAGTCGGCCTTTAATTTGCATAATAAAACCTATACTTTTAGGGAAGTAGTAATATAGATAGACTGATGGTGAATAAAACAAAAAACGAAGGGGAATTTTTACAAAGAACTCACTGAATGTCCAGGTGGAACATACGGGCTCTGAAGTTATTTTTGTGTTCCTTGTCTCTGGGGAAATAGAAAAAACAAAATACACACACATAAAGACATTTACCTACCTCCGAGGTATAAAAGTCATTGATTTACAGAGTTGTTGTTGTGGACTTTTAAAATGGTATCAACCCATACCTGACCCGCCAGTGAGTTTCAGAGGCAGTAAATTGCATAAAAGGGGACAGCTCATCTTTCTCTCACAAAGCAGCTTGTGAATTTGAACCATGTACCATTGGGTTAACAGAGTAATTTCTAAATACTGTCAAGAGTTTTCTTTTACAGAATATTAAGTGCTTACTATTGCTTCACCTCATGAGCCATCTCCTCCTGTGTGAGTAACTGCCTCTAAAAACTTGTTGGATTGTCAGCAACTATATGACACACCACACACACACACACACACACACACACACACTGCTTTGCCTACAGAGTATTTGCTTACATTTCATCATTGATGATTATTAAACTAGAATTATGTAAGTGATTCAACCACTTATGCTTAATCCAGGACAACATTAACTGTATGCTTTCAGGAAATCATAGTTTTAATATATTTATTCTCATATCCTTTTTTCATTCTGGGAAAATTAACTACACATAAAAAAATTCATTTACTATATGATTTATGTAAACTGTTTTATGCATTCTTTGTCAAAGATTCTATAAGGTTAATAGATGACTGCCAAGTATCTCTTAAGTTAATATCTAGACTGTTTTTTAGATTCCTTAAAAAGAGTGTTCTCACCACAAAAAGGAAAATGATTTAATATCACCAAGTTAATTCTAGCTTATGGCAAAGCCGTTTATTATGGAGGAAAAATGGTCCACTGAGTTTTCTTAACTGAAATCTTTACGAACACAGATTGTCAGACATTTTTTCATAACACTGATAGAAATGTTTGCATCATCAATATTTTTATTAATCTCTCTCTCTCACTCTTTCTCTTTTACTCTCCCAGGATATCCAATAAGAACTGACTCACAGAAAACACTCCACAGGATATCTAAGGCTATAAATGGCATGAGAGGAGAAGAATACTGCATTGTTTGGTTTGTGTTTTTTTTTTTTGTTGTTGTTGTTGTTTTATCTCAGGATCCTTTGATGATTCTAACCATCAGAGAGGTGTGGCCCTTGGGTTAGCAGTGAAACACACTATGAATTTAATAGTGGAGCACAAGCTGCCTGATAAAACCATCTTAATTTGTAGGAATAGTTTTTCTTTAATAGTTATGTCTTTCTATACTATTATAAATAGGTTAAACTTTTAAAGTAAAGAGTAAAATATTTTAAACAAGATAATAGTATATATTGTGGTTATGTGCCTTTGAGTCGCCTGTGACCAATAATGACCTTATATACAACAGCCCTGAACTCTACCCCTATCCTGTGCCAATCTCACTGTCTGACACACCTACCCCCATTACCCCAGTCACTAAATCAATCCATCTTATCGAGGGTCTTCCTCTCCTGTGCTGTCCCTCCACCCTCTCAAGCATGACAGCTCTCTCCAAGGACTGCTCCCTACTTGCAAGATATCCAAAGTATGTCAGATGGAACTTCAGAATTCTTGCCTCCAAAGAGCAGCCCAGCTTCACCCTCTCCAGGACAAATCTGCTCGTTTTCTTAGCAGTCCATGGTATATTCAACACTCTTCTCCAACACTGCAGCTCAAAGGCATCAATTCTCCTTCTGTCATCCCTAGTCATTGTCCAGCTCCAAAGGCATCAATTCTCCTTCTGTCATCCCTAGTCATTGTCCAGCTCTCTAATGCAAAGACCATGGCACGTATCAGGCACACCTTAGTCTCCAGACTGACATAGTTGCACTTAGTTATAGAGAGGCCTCTAACTGCAGACTTTCCCATCATAACACATCTTTTATTTTCCTGACTGCTGGTGCCAACAGTGTTGACTGTGGAGTCAATAAAACTAGAGCTATTAACAATCTCAATCTTTTCTTTGTCTTTTTTTGTCTTTTAAAATTATTTTTTAATTAATTTTAAAGAACATTTACAGAGACTTTGATTTCCATTCATTAATTATTGCATTTTTCTCCCTGCCCACCCCTCCCCCAATTTGCTCTTCTCTTTGAAAAGTGAAAGAAAAATTCTTTCATTATTATACAATCCCTCTCCTTCAAGTCCACTCCACTATGCAGCCAATCTCAATCTTTTCACCATTGGTCCTGATACTGCCTGTTGGCCCAGTGGTGACAATCTTTGTCTTCTTGATATTGAAGGCTGCAGTCAGGTCCTCCCCAGTTTCAGCAAGCAGGGTTGTGTCATCTGCATAACACAGATTGTTGATCAATCTTCCTCTAATCCTGATGCCACACTTCTCCTCACACAGCCCAACCTCCCGGATAATCTGTTCTGCATATAGGTTGAAAAGGCATGGAGATAGAACACATCCCTGGCATACACCCTTCCCAATTTTGAACCATGCAACATTTCCTTGCTCTGTTCTGATGACTGCTTCCTGGTCCAAGTATAGATTTCACATTAGCACAATCAAGTGTTCTGGGATTCCCATTCTTCTCAGAGTCAGCCGCAGTTTGTAGTGAATCACACAGTCAAACGTATTTTTCTTGTGGAGTTTTTAGAGTTTTCTAAGTATGCTATTATATCATCTG